TGTGGGTCCTGGGGATTGAACCCAAGTCCTCTGGAAGCATAGCCAGTGATCTTAACCAAGGAGCCATCTCTCCAGTCACATACCTTTAAAACTAAGAGACATCACTGCCATAACTCTGGGGCAGTGGGACCTGGGAGCATGGAACCAATAAATGAGGGAGACTAAAGTCTCATGCAATAGCCAACTTCACTCAGAGCCCCAGACAAGTTATACTTTAAGAGTTAAGAAAGGTCACCTGAGGCCTGGAGAGATGGCTCAGCCATTAAAGGCGACTCACAACCAAAAATATAAGAAAGGTCACCTGAGTAAAGATCTCTTGAGTTTAAGCTGTACACAATCACAAGGACAAGCTGCACCTGGGAAAAACAAGTCTCCCCTACACCCCCACCCCAGACTCCACTGTAGAGGCATAGGAAGGATAGTTTAAACATATAATTGAATAACAGCAGCAAGCAATAATGGTTAATCTGAAGTAAACTCACTCCTATCCACTAGACCTGGGAGGGGCGGGAAAACACATTCCCAGAACAATTCAGTTTTGAGGTCACAAGACTTATTTTCTTGGAGTGTTCTCACAAGCACTCAGAATTCCCACATGACTCTCTTCCTAGCCAGCGCTTCAACATACCACCCTCTGGGCCAGCATGCAAACATGAGCTGCATGTCCCACACCACTCGTGGGAACTGTTTAAGGAGAGAAATGCTACTCTGATTGGAGCATTATACACTGTGCACAGTCCTAAGTTGTGACACTGCTTCGTAAATTGGTACAATTATACCTGAAGCAATGGCATACCACCTCAAAGACACTTACATCCTGCCTCAGCAAGTCTTCTGGGAGGCATCTACCTAGCAAAAAATGGAAACATGTCTGTGTGTGCACACACATGCACACGTTCACATCAACATTTTTAATAGCCAGAACCTGGCAGCAGCTCAGACATCAGCAGTGGACCAGCAGACCGGGGTATGCCCCATTCGGTGTGAAGCCATCTCAGAGACAAAAGGAACAAAATCCTGATACACGGTGAGATTACATGTAAGGAACTGCAGAAACATCACTGTCCTGGTTAGTTAGTTAAGTTGACCCAAGTTTGAGTTTTCTGGGCAGAGGAACCCCAACTGAAAGGCCTCCATCAGATTGCCTGTAGGTCAGTCCATAGGGCATTTTCTGGATTAATGATTGATGTTGGAGGGCCCAGCTCATGGCGAGGGGTTGGGGTGGTGGTGGGGTTTGGGAGATAGAACAGCACCACCCTTCAGCATGGGGTCCTGGGTAGTGTAAGAAAGCAGTGTGTAAACAGGTAAGCAGGCCATGGCGAGCGGGCAGCACTCCTCCATAGCCTCTGCTTCCATTCCTGCCTCCAGGTTTCTTGCCTTGCCCGGAGTTTTTTTCCTTGGTGTGACCTGAGAATTGTAAGCTGAAATAAACCCTTTCCTCCCCAGGCTGCTTTTGGTGATGATCTTTATCACAACACTAGAAAGCAAACATCACATGAAAGAAAGAACAAAAGATGACGCATTATATACAGTCCATGTCCCATCTAGAAAGGGCACTGCGGTGTCCTTGTAAGTTCAGTTTCGAGGTAGCAGTAAAGGGAGATCAAATGTGCACATATCCAGTGGACAGCTCTGGGTGTCCCACGGAAGTAACCATGCAGCCAAAGCTGGCAGATTATATGTACATAATCCCTTAGTAAGAAAAAAACCTCAATGGCTCATACACTAGAAATAACCCAGTGAAATGGCATGATGAGCGAGAAAACTTTACAACAGCAACAAAACAACCTAAACCCTTAGGAATAAATTTAATAACACACATTCGAACTGGCATGGAAAAAGGATAAAACATCCTAATGCCCTTAAAGGACATGTGGGCACAGCGGGGGAACTGCTCTGTCTTCCCTGAAAAACTTCAATACCATCAGGCTGTGCCTACTTCATAAGCTAAGTGTACGCCAGTGTAATCTCAGCAAAACTGTGAGTTTCCCATGGATCGTCCTTGATATGGAGAAACGTTCTTATTTCCAGATGGACAAAACCTATCAGGAAATTATTGCACAGGAAGAGCTGAGTACCCAGGAAGCACAGCCTCATTCTGGGTATAGAGGAGGCATGCGTGCAGGCTGGGTGTAGAGGAAGCACAGCTGCATTCTGGGTATAGAGGAGACGTGGTCATAATCTGAGTATATAGGGGAGACAATCACACTCAGAAAGCATAGGTACACTCGGTATAGAGGGAGCACAGCTGCATTCTGAGAGTACAGGAGAAGGCTGATGATGTGACACCCAGACACTGGTAAGCAGAAACACCCAGGAAGGAGACAGCCCCCTCATAAGGTCCTAGACTAACAGGGTTAAGGCAGCCTTAACCATGGGAAATAAAATCTAATCAGCACATCATTTTACAAAGCAGAAGAAAACAACATAAAAGCCATTAGAGAAATGGACAAAAGCTTACAGACAGACAATTCATAGAATCTTCTTGAAACTCATAGACAGTCCTCTTTGCAGATGGAAGCCCACCAAAATGACAGCCATACGTCCCTGTGCAGTGAGTGGTAGTAGGACATGCACAGCACATGGTCTCCCTTTGCCCAGAATTCTCTCATCTACCTCAACCTGAATACACACCTCTGTGGGTAGAGGAAACACGATGTCCCACAAGGTTATCCTTTGAGGCAATGGATTACAAAAGGCTGGAAATACACCTCAGAAGCCTCAGAAGCCATGGCAAGCCCACCTGGTGGAGTTCCATGCATAGACACAGGATTTCCAGAGAGGCTGGTACATGACAAAAGCCATCTACAGAAAGAGAAATATAATGTGCGTCCCTATCTGTCCTTACAAAGATAAACAGAAACAATAACACTAATGACCAAAAAAGAGAGGAGGAGGTATATCAGAACACAGTCCCAGAATGGAGTCACATGAGGGGAATTCTGAGTGCTTATGAGAAAAGTCCAAGTAAACAAGACAAGAGTCTTGTGACCCCAGTTTCTTCAAAAACACAGAACTGTTCTTGGAATGTGCTTTCGTGGCCCTCCCCAGCGTAGCGGATAAGAGTGAGTTTACATTATTCATTATAGGTGGATATTATTTATTCATAGTCCTCTATGGAGAACATGTTTATGCTATGTGTGGCTTGTCCCTGTGATTATTCACTTTTCTCATTTAACTCTTAACAGGGTATCAGTCGTCCGATGTTCTGAATAAAGTTGTCTGTTGTATGAGACATTCGTCTACTTCATTTATGGGCTCTATTCTCCCAGGTCCCACTACCTTAGAGCAGTTAGCAGAGGTGGATGAAGAAACCTCCCTGAGCTTACCTGCAGGAGTGGATTGATCCCCTGAAGTACAGTTATGTTCTACAAACTAGAAGTAGGTAGTAAGGCTAAAAGCAAAGTGCAAAGCCTTGCACGCACACACAAACACACAGTATCTGTATTTCACGTGAAAAAAACCAGCCATGCAGAGGCAGGGCAAAGGCTGGCCCAAGAAATTTATCAACAGTGTTTGCTACACCTAGTTGTGGGCAGGAGAATGAACTGCACTGACCCCCCTCTGGCGAGTTTGTTCTGTGCAGCACAGTGAACAGAATTCCACAACTACTTTATGTGTATTTCATTGCTGAACAAAGTAGCAAATGTATAAACATTGCCAAGAGCCAGGATTCTAATTGTGGAAGGGGGCTGCACAGTTGTGGCACGAAGAATGACAAGGACTCTGTGATGTGGGATGAATTATGAGTATTGGAGCTGGTTTATAGCTCAGTGGTATTGGAGCTGGTTTATAGCTCAGTGGTACATGCTAGGCTGGTATCCATGAGGCCATGAGTTCATATCCAGGTCCCACAAAAACGAGTAGTATAGATATGCCCCGTGACCGTTCACACATGTTCATGTGTCTATATGTAGACAAGCATGTACTTCCTACAGGAAGGGCTGGAGAGCAGACACCCCAAGGGCAACAAGGACACGTAGCCTCAGATCTCAGATCTCAGCCTGAAGCCATGCTCCACCAAAGAGCCCAGAAACTTGAGACATGGCTAATCTCACAGATCACACACCTGAGAGTGCTCAAAGGGGCATGTCACAAAGTTAAGTACCATGTGACAGGACTCTCATTGGGGACATCTTACACCACAGGAACATCAGAATTAGGAATGACTCACAGATGTTGAAGTTAAGCAGTAATTCACATGTATACAGAGACAAAAGATAATACATATCTGAATACATTTAAGTACAGATAAAAAAAAATGGAAATCAATGCTGAGGGTCAGGAGACAACCTGGAGTCTACAGCCTGTCCTCCAGCCACCATACAAGACTGTATCAGGAAGTGGTTGCGTGTCATGGCTGTGTGCAGAGAAAGAGTCTATACCTTAAGCTGAGACAAACCAAAGGCTATGCTTCAAACCACCTGCTCTCAAAGACTTAGAAACAGCTGGAGGAGCTGTCGGTAAACTGCTTGTCTTGCAAGCATGGCGACCTGAGTTCAGCCTATAGAACTACTTAGGGGAAGGGGGAAACAGGCATGCATATAATGCATGCTTGTAATTCCAGCACTTCGGATGCAGACAGGCAGGTCCCCGGGGCTCATTTGCTAGAAAACAGAAAAATGGTAGATGGTGCCTGAGGAACAAAACCCAAGATTGTCACATAGCCTTAACATGCACTTGCATATATCTGAACACGCATGTATGTGTTCAGGCACACACACACACATACACACACACACACCACAGCCTTTATAGCTATGCAGTATATTGCATATATAAGTGCTATCCAGGCTGTATATGTGTGGTACCTGCATACACATGAGCTTGTGTGGTGTGTGCCTGAATACCGGATGCATGATGTGCACACACAATGTGTCATCTGTATGACTGGCACTGTCACACTTCAGAAATGTTCAATACAGTGAGAGAGCCAGTGGCCCTTACTGTGAAACCAGGACAGAGACTGTCTCCAGAAGTGACCACGTAACAAGACACAATTTAAGAAAACATAATTTTTATTTCTGTTCTTTTATAAACATGTGTATGTCCTCAGAATCAATGTGAAATGGAAATAACATCATGCCTTGGACTATAACAGCTGCCACAACTGGTGGGGTGTGTGTGTGTGTCTATCCTGTAAAGACATGGTTTATACTGTGGTCTTCTAAGGCCATGGGCACCAAGTGTGATTCAGGGGCAGGAACACTGAGGGTCACTGCAGAGCTAGGGTGGCAGGTGTTCCAGCCAGACTCACTGTCCTTAGTTATGAATGGCTCCCAGTATGAATATAAATGATCCTGTGGGCCACCTAACCATGGCAGACAGGTTTGAGCAGGCCACTATCACACTTGGTGGTGGGTCTCTGGCTCCACATTCTCAGCCCTGTACCTTAGGTGTGGCTATTTGTAAGGCCTGGCCCAGCTTGTTGCAGGCCAACACCAGGGGTATGCTGGAGGTCCCTGGTCTTGCTGCTTTCTTGAATCGTCTTTACTGAGTTAGATGGTAACCACACTTGGTAACTTCTGGAGACCTCCTGTCCTCTCAGGCTGGCCTAAGCAGCCGCTCCAGAAGTACCAGCTTTGTCTGCAGGTTGACATCAAAGAGTGGCAGTTTCATCAGATTCAGGCTCACACCTGTAGTGCCCTCAATACTGGCCAGGACCCGATGCGTGTCTCTGTAGAGGGCCAGGTGTCCCGGCACTGCCTCCATGAGGATGTGGGTGTAGTCCAGCATGCCTGCAGCTCCCAGCTGTACGTCTTCGCTCTTGTCATACCTGGGAGAGAAAGGCCACCTGTCACCACTGCACTCAACTTTGCCCGTCTCACACCACCTCTCCCCACGTAGGTGCCACCAAAGTGACTTATAGATGGCCTCTATGAGAAGCAACTGGGCCTGCAGCTACAGTACTTCAGAGACAAACCTCCAGCCGTCGTTGACCTGTAGAAAGCGCGACACGCCTGTCTGGGCAGCAGCCACATCGATGTGTAGAAGGACATCTAAGAAAACCAAGTCTCAGTTAGAAGCCAGCATGGCACTTCACTCAGGGCCAGGCTTCCCCCCAGGGAGCACTTGGGCTAACCTGTCTGAGGTGGCACCAGCTCATGCAGCCGCCGCATCGCAACCCCACCAGGGTAGTTGAAATGGGACACATAGAGGGACGTGGCTGTATACGCCACATTCACCAAGAGATGTCCGATCACCAGCAGCGCTCTCACCTTGTATGGCCAAGACTTTTTATTCAGGCTGAGAAAAAAAAAAAGATATTTAATGAAAAGCATGGTGGCAAGAACACCAACAGATCCTTCAAGGCTGAAGGCACATAGGAACTGAGCTATCTTACTGTCAGCTTCGACAATGTCCTGCTCCATCCCACAGAGGCATCCTCAGTCTCCAGTTGTCCTGAACCCCACAGACAGATCACCCCTTAGCAGGAATACTCATCTCAGAATAACTCTGAGCCTGTCTTCTCACCACCTTACAGAACCAGAACTAAGATAATGGTCAGCCAGACCACAGGGGACCAAGATGACTAAATTATGCATACCTCTTGCCCCTACCTAACTTGGTTTACATGGAAGGCTCAGGTCAGTGCTCCTTGTCTGTGCTCTTCTTCGTCTTGGTTTTGGGTTTTTTTTGAGACAAGGTTTCTCTCTGTAGACCAGGCTGGCCTTGAACTCGGAGATCACCTGTCTCTGCCTCTTGAGTGCAGAGATTAAAGCCATGTGCCACCACTGCCTGGCTCATCTGTTCTTTTTAATGTGGTTATTCATCTCTTTTAATTGTCATACGGGGACAGGAAGGGGGTTGAGCCTGCACTCAGGCTGAACTTGCCTTAAAAATCTGAATTAAGGGGTCTGGAGTGAGCAGGGGCCTGGAGCAAAGTAGGGCTGGAGCAAGAGGGAAAAGGGAAGGGGGGGGAAATCTCAATTAATAGCCAGGGGGTGGTGACACACACACCTTTTAATCCCAGTACTGGGGGTGGGGGCCAGAGGCAGAAGGATCTCTGTGAGTTCAAGGGCACTCTGGTCTACAGAGTACATCCCAGATCAGTCAGGAGAAACCCCAGTCTTAAAAAAAAAAAATGAACAAATAAAAAACAAACAAAAAATTGATTAAAAAAAAAAAACCCAACCAACCAAACAAAACAACCCAACTAACCATAGTGACTAAAATACTGTCTGAAGAACTTTGTGGTTGTGCACAGTGGAGAGGCCTAGAATCCCAGCACTGGGAAGGCTGAAGAATGATGGGAAATTTGAAGCTAGCCTGGGTTACATAGCAAGATTACCTCAAATCAAAAAGAGCCAATGAGATAGCTCAGTGGGTAAAGGCACTTGCATGTGAGCTGGTAATCTGTGATCCCCAGAACCTCACAATGGCAGAAAGAGGGAATGGACTCCACAGATCTGTTCTGACTTCCACATCCACACCACACAGTGTGCCTCCCCACTAATGCACACATGCAGTAATCCAAAAGGAAACCTCCAGATTTCCATTCTAGATGCCAATTCAAGTTTACACTAGCTTTTTAAAGGGTATTACAAAGACTCGGCATTACTTTAGGTGTTCTGTACTGAGTTATCTTTCCTCATGCTAGTGTCCCCAGGTCAAACTTCACACACCCTGCGGTTGCATGCTGGAAAAGCCCGACCCTGCACCAGTTCCTGGGACTGGCTCACCCTCACTCCTTTCCCTCCCCAAGACTGACTATGGTTGTTGGGTAGGGAGCAGTATTTTCTGTTGGGGGATGAATGATCCAGGTATGCATGTGCAGAAGTGAGGACAGCAGGACTCGGCTCTATCACTGTCTTCTTCCTTTCAGATAGTGCCTCTCATTGGACATGGGATGCTACAGGAGATTTGATTACTGTACACAGAAAATCTAATTGTTAGAATATAACAGCTTAAATAGATATTGCGGTTGGTTGGCAGATGCAGTTAACTGTGTCCTGTAGAGACGCAGTTTGAGTGTGCCTCTAAATGCTTCCAGAGATAAGAATGCTCAAGAATGCAAGTTCCTGCCTGTTTAACACAAGTTCCTGGGAGAGGTCTTTGCTCTATGATCTGAAGTGAAGTCAGCTGGGTGCCTTGAGTTACAGAGAGTGAGACAGTTGGGCCCACCGACTTAGCTTGGAGTCCCCACCATGGTGGGACATGGTTCAGACTGCCAAGGGCGTAGGGCAGGAGATAGTGACTTCTTTTATAAACAACTGTACGTTTGATAGATAGCTCTCTCTCCCCTTATTTCAATTAGGCTAAGTCATAGCAATCTTCCTGTTTCTGTCCCCCAGCATCACTAACACAGTGCTAGAGTTTCAGATTAGCATGTGGCGACACCTAGCTCTTTATGTAGGTGCTGGGGCCCCAAATGCAGATCCTCAGGCTTACACTGCAAGCATGCTCACCCATGGTACCCTCAGGCTTGCACTACAAGCATGCTCACCCATGGTACCCTCAGGCTTGCACTACAAGCATGCTTACCCATGGTACCCACTCCTTGGCTTCCAGAACACTGGGGGGACAGGTATGCATCCAGCTTCAAGAATGTCTTTCTCTTTGGTCTTCTGGGTCACTTTTTGGGAACAGATTTACATGCATTCTCTACGTCATCCTGTCTAAATCAGTTTGCTACCCACCTGCACTGATCCAGAGTCTCTGAAACTTTTATTTACTTAGGAAGGGTTTCATGTCCAGGCTAGTCTTGAAATGGGTATATGGCCAAAGATAACCTTGAACCTCCACCTCCTGAATGGTGGGTTTCTAGACAAGTATAACTGTACCTAATTCATGCTGTACTGAAGGGTGACTCGGGTGCTCTGTGCATGCTAGACAAATGCTCTAAAACTGAACTTCACCCATCCCTTTCCCTGATTTTTATTTTTGAGGAAGCGCCATACCATATAGCTCAGGATGATCTGAAATTTATTATGTAACTTGAGATGGCTCAAGTTGGTGTTCCCATGTACTGTGATTACAGGTGTGAGCCTCTGTTACCCCTGCCCCATCTAGGCCGCTGCAGACGATGTCATCCCCACCTCTCCCAGGGTTTTTGCCTTTAAGGCCTGACTGGGTCTAGAAAAGCATAGCAGACTTCAGCTTGAACCACGGTGTTACCACAGTGTCTGAGCTGCAGCTTAGATCACCCCCCAAATTAACTCTAGGTTCTCTTCTGTTCTCAGTGTACCAGGAACATCTCTCTGTCTCTGAGGCTGATTTTAACAACAATGGCAGTTAGTAGCTGTAACAGAGATTGTCTTTGCTCTCTGCCCTTTAAAAAAACAGTCTACCAACCAAATTTTAAAACAATTAGTCTCAAACACAAATTTTCAGCAAAAGTTCACTCACTCTATTTCAGCTGAGGGACAGAGTGAAACAGTGCCACCAGCTGGAAACCAAGTGTTCAACTAAGTGAACCTGTGGGGGACAGTTTTAATTAAAACCATACAGTGTCCCTCAGACTCACGTGTCAGCACTTGGTCTTCAGTGAGTGGCCCTGTTTCAGGAGCCTCTGGAAACCAGGAGGTGAGCACAGTGGAGGACGTAGGTTACAGGGGGATGCCTCTGAAGGTCAGGTCTGGTCCCTCCTCTGTTTCCTGCCCACCTGAAGTGAGCAGTTCCTGGCCTTTCTGTTCTGCCTCACTAATGCAAGACTACAGACTCAACTCTCACACTAAGCTGAAGATCTCACCACCCCTCCTACAGCCCCTTCTGTTGGGTATTTGGTCATGGCCATGAGAAACTTGTATCTTGTTAAGACAGCTCTCGTTAAAATCTGTTCGACTTGGGCAAAGATGTACAAGTGAGCAGTCAAGGGGCTGAGCCACGAGCTGAAGGGTGGTCTGAAGGCAGCTCCATGGGCTGGCCCCTTCCCTCTACCAGTTGCCCTGGGGAAGGAGAGGAAGAGAAAACACTTCTGCCCACTGCCTGGACTCATAAGGCCCCCTGAAGGGCTGCACCGTGAGATTTGTCCCTACCAGAGTGTGCCTCTGTGTGCCTCTCTGGATCCTGTCCCACCTGGGCCCAGCCAGCCCTCCAAGAACTCTGACTGCGCCCCTCAGTCCCCAAACCAGGCTCAGCAATTCTGTTCCCACCAAGTGGTGAGTACTGAACATGGCCATGGCTCCTGCTTTGGCTCCCAGGGCATTCTCCATGTCAAAACAAGGAAAGGGGCAGAGTGGACCTTCTAGGTCTATGAAGCCCACAACACTGAGCTAGCTATGCTCAGCCCAGGTAACCCTCCTCACAGCCTGTCTGCCTCCTAACACCTGCATCACCAGGGAAACATCAGTCATATCATCAGCTCTACCTCTCCCCTCCCCTTCATCTCTATCACCGTTGTTCCTGTCCCCAGCAACTCCCACACCATCTTCTTCATGAGCCCAAGCCACGGCCTCCCTGTGTCCCCACAATTAACCAAAAGCACCACCTCATCTTCTCCAGCTCAGACCAATGCCCTCCAGCCACCTAGCAGCCTGGACCAAGAACACCCTCCACCGGATCAAATCGTTCAGAGGCCTGGACGCCATGCAGGATCAGGCAGTCCCAGGCTTGAGGCCTGCTTGGCCATCTCTCCCATGACCAGTCTGGGACAGTTAGCAAGGTGCTGGGGATAGAGAGATCCAAGACTCACAACACAGTAAGAGGCACTGAGCACTGAGCAGAGGCCTCCTGGTACATGGAGGACCGCAGACATCCAATATCAAAAATCTGCTCAAGTGACAAGGACACTTGATGACCATACTTGAATTTAAGTGTATACCAAACCAAATACTTTTTTTTAACAGTAAATTCCAACTTTGCTTCTAAAACAAACCAATTCTAGTCCATGTTAAACTGGCAAACTTACTCTTTTTTGAGACAAGATCTTACTATATAGACCACAGTATCCTCAAACTCACAGACACTCACCTGCCTCTGCCTCTCAAATGCTGGAATCAAAGGCATGTGCTTCCCAGCACAGAAAATCTATTTTTCTCTCTTTTCCCCCACAGGGGTTCTCTGTGTAGTTCTGTAGACTACGCTGGCTTGAACCCAGAGATCTACCTGCCCCTGCCGTCCAAGTGCTGGGATTAAAGGTGTGTGCCTCCACTGCCTTGTGCAAACCTATTTCAGATGAACCTTTAATAATACCTATCACCTGGGTTAAAATCAGCACTACAGACAATATAGTCAAAGTGAAAAGGATCTCAAGGAAACCCTCACACGTAGGTGCAGCCTCTGGCAGCCATGATGTTGAGGACAGGAAAGGTATAGATGATGAACCGTAGCTCCTTGTGAGGGAGGAGCGAGTACAAAGCCACGAATCCCAGGCTTGGCAGGGCCAGCGCATAGGTCCTCCTGTCCACTGCACCCAGGGGCATGAAGAGGAGGCTGCAGCCCAGGCCTCGGGGCAGGGCTGAGTAGAAATACCACAGGAGTGGGGAGGTCTTCAGGTTAGGGTTAAGGAGACACGAATTTGTCAGAGACAGAGTCACTGTCCACTTAATGAAACTAAGCATGGTAACAACATAAAGGCCCAAAGTCAGTGACGCCAAAAGACACAGCAGAGACCTGCTTAGGAGGTATGGGGACGACTGATCTTGGGCACAGCATACCCTTCCCAGCTACAGTGTAACTGAGGGCCCCAAAGAGGATTATGGGAATTTCCTTAGCTTTTCTTCCTTTCTTCCCAGTACTGACAGATGAGGATGGTATGTTATCAACTTGTAGCTATGCTATCCTTCCTTATCATGAGACCGTCTGAAGTTCTCTGTGTAAACGGTTTAAAAAGCAGCTACCCTGGGGACTATAGGGTATGACTAGGTGCTACTCAGGGAGATGTTGCCTGAGTTCCAGGTGTGAGCCACAGGAGAAACTCCTGCCCTGACCCTCAGACTGCTACTCAACCTGTGCCAGACTGGCTGACTGGCTGGACAGAGGCCATGGTCATGGGGCTGACTAGCCCATGCATTGCTTCCCTAGTACTGAAAGGATACGCCCCAGTTGGAACTCTTGTTCAGGACAGTGTTGTACCAAAGCACCACTCCTTCTGGCCATACAAGGTATCGCCAGAAATAGGAGTCCACAGCAACCGTCAGCCCTAGTAACAGAACAGAAGTGTCCTCAGTAAGGAACACGGCCAACTATAAAATTCAAGCCTCAACGCCCATGTGCACTGTGCTTAACTGCCCCACAAAGTGACTGCTGACCACAGAAACTGCCACCGGCTTCCATTAAAGGAGCTGATGGTGTGTGACACTCTCTCTCATCAGGTATCTTCCCCAGTGCACGACACACTGCCCTCCTCCTGCCTGTCCATGCAGCCTGAAGGACAGCAGTGACACAGGCTTCCCAGCAGAAGCTACATTCAGGACAGAACTGGCATGTCCTACTGTTGCCAAAGTTCAGGTCATCTTGTTTACATCTTTAAAAAAGGAGGGGGGACTAGAGAGAGTAGTTAGAGTGCACACTGCTCTTTCAGAGGACCCAAGTTCAGTTCCCAGAAGCCACAAGGGAAGGCTCACAATGGCCTGTCACAAGTCCTGGGTACCAGGAAACCCAGCACACTCTTGTGGACTCTATGGGTGCCTACAATCACACACACACATTTCCACACACAGACACATGTATATATAATATACATAATTAGAAATAAAATAAAGCTTAAAAAGTTTCTTGGGGCCAGTGAGACGGCTCAGTGGGTAAGGGCGCTTGCTGCCAAGCCTGCCGAGTTCAGTCCGAGACCTACATTAGGAAAGAACTGACTCCTACAAGTTGTGCTCTGACCTCCAAGTGTGAATTGTGGTGAGAACACAATCACACACACACTAAAAAAAGGGAAATGTAATAAAAAACAAATCTCAAGGGCTGAGGCAACACTTTAGTAAAGAGCTTTCCTTGCAAGCAGGAAGTCCTGAGTTCTAGCCCAGAACACATAGAAAAGCCAGGTATATGTCAGGTACGGTGGTGAGTGCCTTTAATCTAAGCACTAAGGAGGCAGAGGCAGGCAGGTGGATGTCTGTGAGTTTGAAGACAGCCTGGTCTACAAAGTGAGTTCCAGGACAGCCAGAGCTATGTAGAGATCCTGTCTCAAGAAACCACACACACACACACACACACACATACACACACACACACCCAGGTATGAGGCTGAAACAATTAAACGGTGGCTAAAAACTTTCCATAACATAATTTCCAGGAGATCTGATGCCCTCGTCTGGCCTCCATGGGCACCAGGTACACATGCAGTACACAGAAAAACATGCAGGCAAAATAACCCATACACATAAAATAGAAATACATATATTTAAAAACAAACAAAAACAAAAACAAAAGCCCTAGGAACAAACCAGGTGGCTAATCCGAGGAATGACACTGAGGCTGACCTCTGGATGCCACACATATACCTACACACCAAGTTTCAAACGAACACACTAGTCATTTCAGCACGTGGAGGCTAAAGCAGGAGGAGCTCAAATTCAAGGCCAGCCTGGGTTATACAGTGGGTGTGGTGGTTTGAATACAAATATCCCCCAAGGGCTAATAAACTTTAATGTGTAGGTTCTAGTTGGTGGACAGTTCAGGAAAGCTTAGGAGGTACAGACTTATTGGAGGGGGTGTGTCAGTGGAGCTGGGCTTTGAGGTTTCAAATGGACCCACACTAGGCCCAGTCTCTCTGTCTCTCTGCCTGCTGCCTGTAGATTAGGATGGAGCTCTCAGCTACTGCTCCAGCACCATGCCTGCCTGCCTGCCTGCCTGCCGCCATGCTTCTGCCACAATGATCATGGACTAGCTTCTGAAACTGTAAGCCAGCCCCAGTTAAAAGTTTCTTTTTAGGGGCTGGAGAGATGGCTCAGTGGTTAAGAGCACTGACTGCTCTTCCAGAGGTCCTGAGTTCAATTCCCAGCAACCACATGGTGGCTCACAACCATCTGTAATGTGATCTGATGCCCTCTTCTGGTGTGTCTGAAGACAGCTACAGTGTACTCACAATAAAATAAATAAATCTTTAAAAAAAAAAAAAAAGTTTCTTTTTATAAGCTGCCTTGGTCACGGTGTGTCCTCACAACAGAACAGTAACTAAGATGGCAGGACTCTGTCTCAAAATACCAAATCCCAAAACTGAAAGAAATGCACACAGACAACCCCGAGATGGCAACTTGCCTAGGCAGAGGACCCCTGCTGGGATGGCATGCCGGAACAATCTGGCCACAGGCATTCTTCTTTGGTACAAGGTCAGCAGCAGCATAATGCCCAGCAGCATGCCCAGCTCAGCCCTGAAGCCAATAATGACAAAGGCTGAGAGCCAGACAAAGAGGGCCCACCTACGCTGCAGCCAGGCTGTGAGGGCTGGTAAAACTGCAAAACACAAAATACACACTGTAAGGGGCTCACTTTCTTATAAAACACACACGCAGATCACTCTGTGGGGGCTGGAGTGTTGGGGCTGGAGTGATAGTTCAGCAATTTGAAAACTGGCTGTTCTTGAAGAAGACCCAGGTTTCACTCCCAGCACCCACAGAGCAGGCAGCTCAAAACTGTCTGTGACTCCAGTTGTAGAGGACCTGATGCACTATCCCGATCTCTGCAGGTACTGTATTCACATTATATGCTTAAATACATACTGAATACAAATGAACACATGCAAAAGCTTAAACAAACAAACAAACAAACAAACAAACAAAAAACACTGTAGGAGCTGCTAAACACTTCAGAGTTTAAGGCAGGGGGATCTAGTATTCAAAGCCAGCCTGGACTACATAGTAGGACACTATGTCCCAAAATACTGAAACCCAAAATGCACACAGACAAACCCCAGAGAAGCATACATGCCTAGACAGAATGGCTGCTGGAATGGCACACAGGTGCTTCAGGGTAGTGTTCTCTAGAAGTACCAGCCCTGAGTACAGAGAAGCCTGCTTCCGTAACAAGAGACCCTGAGCAGTTTGAGGCGCCCATGAGGTGGGGGACAATGCCGTGGGCAGATGTGTGTATACTGTAAGGGTCAGAAGGCACAGGCTGCAGCTACATACCCACAGCCAGGGCCAACACGTTGGGGAGTGTCCTCGTACAGTAGAACATGAGATGAAACTGTGTGGCTGAAATCCAGCAGAACATGACAGCCACCGTGGCCCCGAACTGCTGTCGAACTTCCTTCTGTAATCTCCAGAGCCCAAAAATCACACCAAGCCCAAGGACTCCTCTGACTAAATGAAATGAGCAAAAAAGTCACTGATGTGAGTGACCCAACAGGAAACAGAGATGAAGCCAGGGGCTCTTTGAGTGTCAGTTGCAATGGCAGTCAGTGACAATATGCAAGAAACTACATAGGAGCTCACATCTATACCAGAAGTGGCCATGGGGCCTGTGTTTGCACTGAGACCTACACCAACCAAGCCTCTGACTTCCTTTCAGGCCCACAGCTTTGCCTGACTGGCTGTTTGCTAAAGGTATGTCATGAGGACTTGAGTGGACTCTAAGGTACAGCTCCTGCTTGCTTGTCCCAAGTCTGGCTGCAAGGCTACAGTGAATCCAGCCAACCCCCACCCGACCCCATCCCCACCCCACCTGTGATAGTGTGATGTCACAGCCTCCACCCATGTGAGGCCCTTACCTATCAGCTGAGAATAAAATTTAGACACTTCAAACAGCGAGAGCACATAAACCACAGGGCTGGAGAACACTGCAATCAACAGCGGCCCAAGGAACGTCCTGGGAACAACTCCAGGAAACTCATGGTGGTCGTACTGCAAGGAGAAGAATGGTCAGCGCACGGGCTGGGCAAGCGGAGCAAGTGTCAGCTCAGCGCAGTGCCTTACCTTGTCTATATCCAGCTGGTGGTACAGAAGGTCATGTGTAGCCTGCAGGTTGAAGCTCTCTTCTACCTTGGTGTAGGGACAGGCAACAAGGTGGATGGTGGCTACAGTGACCAACAGCCCCAGAAGCAGCAGTGACTGCTTGCCTGATGACCTCTTGCCAGCCATGTACAGCTTTAAACTTCATGTACCTTCACAGAGACAAAGACAAGTAACACTATTAACGTACACATTCAGACATTGCTTGAGGTCACACTGGTAAGATGTGGAGAAGAGGAAGCATAACACCCCTTGAGGTGGCTATTCTGTCAACTTGACTACCTCTGGAGTTAACTAAAACCCAAGTGGCTGGGTACCCCTGAGAGGTTTTTTTTGTTGTTTTTTGTTTTTCAAGACAGGGTTTCTCTGTGTAGCCCGGGCTGTCCTGGAACTCACTCTGTAGACCAGGCTGGCCTCGAACTCAGAAATCTGCCTGCCTCTGCCTCCCAAGTGCTGGGACTAAAGGTGTGCGCCACCACTGCCCGGCTGAGAGGGATTTTTTTTATTAAGTACGTCTCTTGAAGTAGGAAGATCCACCTTTAATCTGGCCACAGCGTCTGCTGGCAACTTCTAAAAAGGACATGGAAGAAGGACGCTTCCTCTTGGCCTGCTCACTCTTTCTCTTGGTCTCGCTGGCACATCCATTCCTTCACTGGTAATGGTACCTATTTCTTCAAGATTCCAGTGTATACTGAAGACCATCTCAAAGAAACATCCACCCTTGTAGACTGAACATCTACTGGATTCTTGGACCTTCCATTCATAGACAGCCATTATTGGACTAGCTAGACCAGTCTGTAAGCCACTCTAATAAATTGCATGTAAGTGTGTATGTATATATGTGTATATACACACACACACACATACACATATTTCATTCTATTAGTTCAAGTCTTCTTGAGAACCCTGACCAATGTACCTTTTAACTTTTTTTAAATTATTTTTTACGTGTATGGGTGTTTTGCTGGCATGTATGTCCAGGCACCTGATCCGCTAGAACTGGAATTACAGACAGTTGTGAGGTGCTATGTAGGTGCTGGGAACTGAATTTTGGTCCTCTAAAACATCAGTCAGCACTCTTAACCAGAGCCATCTCTCCAGCCCAACCCCTATCATCATAACCCCTATCATCTGAGTTAGGCTTTACATTTCTGTTATAAAACACCACACCCAAGAGCAACTTGGGAGAAGAAAAGGTTTATTTCATCTTACAGCTTACAATCCAAGGAAACCAGGGGCAGAAACTCAAGGCAGGAACTTGGATGCAGGAGCTGATAAGGAGGTCAAGAAGGAGTACTGCTTACTGGCTTTCTCCTCATGGCTTCTTCAGTCTGCTTCTTATAGCACCTATGGCCACCAGCCCAGGATGGCATCACCCGAAGTGAGCAGGGCCTACCACATCATCAATCAGAAAAATGCCCCACTGGTATCCACCAACCCCCATGAAGGCATATCATAAAGACTTTAGTGGAGTGTAAATCAGCCACAGCTTGCACTTGCTTGTTCCAAGTTTGGTGGCAAGGCTAGAGTGAGTCTGGCCAACACCTCACCCTACCTCACTAGGTCCAGCTGTGTTAGACCCAATAAAAAGTACTGAACTGAAAATGTGTGATTATTGACTAGTTAGCTTATAGAACAATGTGTATATAAAGTTCCCAACCTGGCACAAAACCGTACTGGGGCATGGTGATGCACACTTAGGATTCCAGTACTTGGGAGGCTGAGACAGGAGGAACAAGAGTTCAAGGCCAACCCAGGCAACTTGTTAAGAGCACAAAGCCCTGGGTTCAGCTCCCAGAACCACATAAACCCCAGGTACGTGGATATGTGTGTATTCCCAGCACCTAGAAGGTTGAGGCAAGAAGATCAGACGTTCAAGGTCCTCCTTGGTATAAGGAGACCCTGTCTCAGAAAGGAGGGGAAGAAGGCAAGCCACTGAGGCAGCAGTGTGGGATGCGCTGCCTCAGGGACTCCAACTTAGCTGTTTCAACTATCTGCTCTGCACTTTTGAAGGAAACCCAAGCTTTAGGGTGATTATTACCCATAGAACTCACCTGATCCTCCTCCTTCCTCACACCTACAAAGGGGTGTGTTTCCTGCTGCGCACCAACAGCAGCTATTTTCAAAGACAACAGGAGGCCAGGGTGAGCTGAAACAAGGGAGATATTCACCAGTACATAAAACCCACCTATCACGGAAATGGGCACAGCTGCAGGAAATGTCTTTATGGCTAATAGCCTTCTAGCAGCCAAGCTCAAAAAAGCTATACTCTTTGCAAATGTAGCGTGGAGAAGGAGGGCACCTCAGATTAGGGAGTACCCTTCCAAGGTCCTGTTGTCCCTGTCAACTGTGATTCCAAAGCTTCCAAGGAAACTGTCAGAACCATCCGTTCAAATTGTGGCTTTAACCTGGAAGTGTTATCTGGTGTAGATGAGGCCTACTTGTAAACCAGACGAAACTGTATTATTTATACAAACAGATGTTCTCTAAAATACAGATAATCCATATTTCCTCCTTCTGCTCCTCCTCCTCTCTCAAGTCACTTAGCGTTCGGAAGGTCATTGTGAACTCACTGCCTGAGACCCCTGAGGAAATGTCGACTACGGGCCCTTGTCAACCACACTGAGCGAGACCCAGATGTACAGCTCAGTTTACAGATGACAGCTCCGGCTGCCAGGTGTGGAGGATGGATTAAAAGTCCAGGACTCAGGTAACATGTCCAGCCCCCAGGGACACGCTCAGCCCCTAAGTAAGAGGTCCGGTCCTCAGGTGAGGAACTTAAAGGCAGTCACACGAGCTCGGAAGACCCTGGAGCCTCGCCACCTCCCGAGTACCCCAATCCCGGCGGGGCGGCGCGCGCTAACCTCTCCTGCTCTCCGCATGACCTCTCGGAACTCAGCAGCCTGCCGTCCGCAGGAAGCGGGATGCGGAAACCGGGCCCAGAAGCCAAGTCTTTGCCCGAACTTAACATGGCCACCATTACCCAGGCTGGCATCAGAGGCGGGCGCTTCCCGCCCGGAGAAAAGATGGCCGCTGAAAGCCACTCGTGGAGGGCGGGGCGAGAAGACCGGATAGAAGATTGCAGTCCCGCCTCATTCTCGCGGGACGCTGACCCGGGGCCTTCTCATTGGTGGCTTCTCGTGGCGAGCCTCAATTGGTCCACATCAGGCAGGGGGATTCCTCTGGCCAATAGAAGCGCGCAGGATGAAAGGGGGGCGGGGCCTCGGCGACGCAGTCAAGTAGCCCGGGGAACGGCCGGCGCGCGAGCCGGTGGGCGGAGGCTCAGACTTCGCCGCAGTTCTCGGTGGGTCGCCGGGCTGCCCTCCCGCCATGCACCTGCTGCTTGCAGCCGCGTTCGGGCTGCTACTGCTGCTGCTGCCGCCGCCCGCGGCTGTAGCCTCCCGGAAGCCGACGATGTGTCAGAGGTGCCGGACGCTGGTGGACAAATTCAACCAGGTGGGCGGACGGCGGGTCCGGGGCAGCGGCGCTGGGCAGGGGCTGGTGGGGTTCACAGTGGACCATCGAGTTGGTGCCACCTCCTCTGCAGGGGATGGCCAACACGGCCAGGAAGAATTTCGGTGGCGGCAACACGGCGTGGGAAGAGAAGACTCTGTCTAAGTATGAATTCAGGTGAGAGTCCGAGAACTGCGAGGATTTGCGGCCACAGCCTGTGATTCGGTGGTCAGACCACCGGCACACGGAGGAACCCCTTAGATGGTGGACACCTGTCACTGGTCATCCTGCCTCTGGCCGCTCAACTGGCCTGTGGTTTCCGCACTCTCCACAGCCACTTCTGCGCGCACATACACTGGAAGGCTTTTTCATATGCACACACCCCTTTTGGAAACTCAAACTGGAACCCCTAGCCCTCCTAGAGGCTTCCAGCTTCCCTGACTAATGGAATAAGCTCCCCTTCTCATGCTGTAGTGATGGAGAGGCTGATCATTACTGGGTCCACTGCACACCCCAGGGCTAGCCTCCCCTAAATGACTAACCTTGCCCATGGTTGTAGAGTCGCCTCTTCACTAAAGTAGTCTCTAGGTGGGACGTGTGTAAAGTGAGCAGACTGGTGCTCTGGGGTGCTGGTGCTTTGGGGTTGCTGACAGATTGTGTTTCAGTGAGATCCGGCTTCTGGAGATCATGGAGGGTCTGTGTGACACCAGTGACTTTGAGTGCAACCAACTCTTGGAGCAGCAGGAGGAACAGCTGGAGCAGTGGTGGCAGACACTGTAAGTGCCCAGGACCCTGTCTTCTGAGCTCTATCTAGTTTTGCAGTCTCTTCCCAGTAGAAAACTGACAGAAGCAGGAGATGTCCTACATCCCTGTCTCAGTTTACCCCTGCACTGCCACCGGTGGTCTCTTAGAGTCGGGAAGCTTGTAAAGAGGTCCTGTGCACACCTGACCCTTGCTTCCCCCATCGCAGAGCTTTGAGGGCGTGTACAGTACCTCCTAGCCCAAATCACCCAAAGTAGTTGGTTCAGCCTGAAGGTAAGAGGTGAAAATTGCAGCAGTAACCCTCACTTCAGGACATCATGACTGTTCCACCATTACTGTCATTGATCTCTTACTATACCTAATTTGTAAATGAAACTTCCCCTCCGGTATGTTTGTAAACGCTTGTACTATATTTAGGGTTTGAAACTGTCCAAGGCTTCAAGCATCCTCTAGGGGTGTTCTTGGGTGTGCTCCACCACTTAGCCATGCGTGCCCCCAGCCCAGCATCTCATGAGATTTAATGACCATTTCTAAATCCTCAGGAAGAAGAAGTACCCCAACCTATTTGAGTGGTTCTGTGTACACACACTGAAAGCATGCTGTCTTCCAGGCACCTATGGGCCAGATTGTCAAGGTACATTTTCCTCCCCCATAGGAAATCCCAAGTTACTCCTGTTACTTCCCTGTTACTCCTCTCTAACTCCCTTGTGTTTGAAAGCACAGAGGGCACTTGAACTGGGCGCTCTTCCTGTGGAGTTGGGGACCCTGTCTCTTTCCTCAGATGGGTAGCTATCTACCCCTGCTCTGGCGCTGTGAACCTGGACCACAGGGTCCCGCATCACTGCTAACTTCTGACTTTAGGAAATTCTCCTGTAGTCCCAGTGAGCCTTTAGGGAAGGAGTCCCAGTCTCAGGAGCTCATCTGTATTGACAGGAGTTGGGGTAGGTAACCATGCTTAGCTAGTCCTGGCCCTTCTCTGAGGTGAGCCTTGAGACTGGAGCCAGTCATGTTGATCAGTCAAGCTGGGTCCGGTGACAGAAGTTTCAGTTTCAGGCATGCACATGGGCAGAGCTGACTCTTGCTTGCTTCTCCCTGGCTGTATGCTGAATGCAACATTGTTGGATTTCTCTCCCAGGCACATAGTGTGTTATCCCATAGCTGGCTCCCCACAGGTGTTACAGTGTTAATCCTGCAGGTTCCAGGTGTTCAGTGTCTGTCCCTTTCCTTCAGCTTTCAGGCCCCTGTTCTCTCAGCAGGAATGGTGGGTGCCAGGTTTAGATTGTAAGGGATCTCAATGACTTTAGGCTGTGAGCATGTTATGAGGTACATGTGAGAAAAAAACATGGCCAAGCCCTGGGGCATCCTCCAAGCAGAGGTTTCTGTCTTCCAAGAATGCCAGGGTGGGTCTGAGAGGCCTTGCAGCGGAAACGGGTACTGCAGCGGAGATGGCAGCAGACAGGGCGACGGGTCCTGCCAGTGTCACGCAGGATACAAGGGACCACTGTGTATTGACTGCATGGACGGCTACTTCAGCTTGCAGAGGAACGAGACCCACAGCATCTGCTCAGGTAAGCACCAGCACCCAGAGTCTGGCCAGCTTGATTGATGGTGAGGCTGTGGGGAGCAGCTCTCTGCTGAAGCCGCAGAGCTGAGAACAGAGTACCTCTTGACCCCTAGCCCCAGGTAGTCAGTGCAAGAGACCTAGCAGTGTGGCCTTTCTGAAGTATCCATAAACTACCCCAGAAGGAAAAGCTGCTTGCTTCTTGAGCCTTTCTGGGAATGACATGGCAGTTCAGTGCCTCTGTGACAGGTTCTGTCACGCCTTACTAAATGCCCTTGGTTTTATGACCTAGCACCTTGTAGTTGGCCATATTCCATATGATCACCTGAAATGTACTGATGATACGCCTGTCCCTGAAGGATGGATAGGTCTTTCAGTTTCCTGCCAGGTGGTTTTTGAGAGGGAGGCAAGATACAGAGTCTGAGATGTGTCTGCCATCGATCAAACAACTTCTCAGAGGGAACAAGGACTTTCTGGGCCCACAAGACATGGCTATGCAAGGGAACCAGGACCCTTGGAGGCTACTCCTGAGCACAGGTCCACCAACTCCCTCGTTCTCACCAGGGTTGTCAAGGTTACCTGGGTAGCTTCTTCCTGAGATTGAGGTCAGCTCTGCCTGTCAAATCACTCAGCGGAGCACAGGCCTTGCCAGCCTCCTAGGCCACTGTGGTTGCTGCCTCCGCAGGGCAGCATCCTCGGTTGAGTTCACTTGATGTTTTATGACTATGAGGGAAATAGTCAGCAGTCCCTTGTCACTGACCAGAGGGATGCTGCATGGGGTGACATCGTGCTCAGAGTTAATGGCTGCTTCTTTTCTTGGTTTCACCATTTTTTGTTATTTTCCTGCCGATCTTAAATTCCTAAAGGAAGCTTTCCTCAGTGTGGGAGATGAGGCCCTGCTCCCAGAAGGGCCCCCTAACACGGCCTTTGCTTTCCAGCCTGTGATGAGTCTTGCAAGACATGCTCAGGTCCGAGCAACAAAGACTGTGTCGAGTGTGAAGTGGGCTGGGCACGCGTGGAGGACGCCTGTGTGGGTGAGGAGCGTACGGTGGGAGAGGTCGGGGGAGAGAAGGTTCCTTACAGGGGTGACCCCCAGTGAGGTCAGACTCCTGCCTGATGTCTTTCATCTCCACCCCACTCGGGACTGTGGAAGGCCACTCTTATGGCCTGCATGTGGGTTTGGAGAAAGGACTCAGATCTGTATTAAGCTGGTATCCCCACCACAGCCCGTAGCATCACAGTACCAGGGGTGTGTGTGGCCCTGGTGTCTCTGGGCCCTTGCCCCTTTCGTGCTGTAAACTCTGTACTGAGGCCATCTGTGGAGCTGCTACTGGCTTGGTCTTCGAGCCTCAGGGGCCCATTGCCTAGCCTCTTCCTCTGTTAGTTCCAGTTTTGCTTCCCCCTCTGCAGCTGCTTGGCCTTAGGCAAATTCAGAACTCAGCCCGAACCTGGTCTCAAGCCTTGAGGCAGGGTTAGTGAAGGAAGAGATGGTTTGAGCTTGCATGGAGGCACAGGTTCCAGTCGCGGGTGGCACCTCAGCCCTGCCACCTCCGCTCTGCTCACCGCCATCTTTTCTTCCAGATGTGGATGAGTGTGCAGCAGAGACCCCTCCCTGCAGCGATGTGCAGTACTGTGAGAATGTCAACGGCTCATACACATGTGAAGGTGACCAGAGCGTTGGGACCTGTGGTCTTCATAGGCTTCTCTTCCTTCAACATGTGTGACTCGGATGACCTCTGTATGGTTTCAGGAACTTGAAAGTGGTGACATCAGTGGTAGACATGATGCAGAAAGCCAGCGCATCTCCATGCGTCCCTTGTTTTGTACATTGCAGTAGCTCTGGCGTGTGCTGCTACCTCCAGCTCCTTCCGTCATTGCCATCAGTCTTTCCCTTGTAGGGAAAACGCTACACACTCTTAGACAGGATCTCTCTGTGTAGTCCTAGAGCTCACTATGTAGACCCTGCTGGCCTTAAACTCTCAGAGATTCTCCTACCTCTGCTTCCTGAGTGCTGGGATTAAAGGGGTGTACCACCACACCCAGCTTGTTCACACTCTGCTTCCCAAATTTGCCAGTCAAGCATATGAGTATTTTAGGGTCTTTTGCAATTCCTAGAGCAGCAGGGACGAGGTTGCCACCTGGTGT